ATTAGGAAGACTAAATGAATGATATTCTGTTTGCTAGGCCACTGTCACTGTTATCTTGTTCATTCTAATTGAAAGAGTTTATTATTGGTGATATAAGAAGAAAGCCCTTATTAATATTTTCAGAACCCAGAATTTTGAAGTAATAAAAACTAGAAGAGTCCTTTGACAATTGTAAGCTATTCCAAAGTCATATAACAAATAACAATGGACCTCCATGCAGCATTTTTTTCTTGTCACCTTTTTGTTATAACTGTATTTTGAGCAAGGACATCTATTATTTTAACTATGGTAGGCACACCACAATATGATTCATAATAATTTTTCTTAGCCTCCCCTATATAGAATTCATCACAAATGAGTTTCAAAATGTTCATTCCAGTAAACCATGAACAAATAGACCTGTACCCCTGTGTCACCTGAGAAATACCAGAAACAATGAGCTCTTAATACATTTATCATTATCTGTGAATTTACCCTAGTATGAGAAACTTCCTAGATTTTCAGTGAGAGAAGCAAGTATTGGACCTCTGTCATCCTCCCAAGATTAGTACAGTTAATAGCATTCAACCCTGGTTTACTGCCACCTTTCCTAACTCCTCTCTGAAGAGTTAATAAATAGCTTACTACTTAGCTACTCGGGTTCTGAACACATTGAGAAATAAGTAAAGAAGTAGTGTGGGAGACCCATTTGCCTCCACTGTTAGAGATCAAGCTGGTTAGAGGTAGTAGCTTGTGTGGCTGACTTACCTTTCCAGTTATGGCAGCCCTGGACTGGGGCAGGCATGCCCACATGAGAGTGGGAAGGATACAGCCCACGTAAGACTTCAGGGTGGAGAAGCAGAGGAGAACCTCTGATAGCCACCAGGAGCTTGGTCCCTAAAGGAAGAAGGGGAAGAGCTGAACCAAACAAACCTACTTTGTTCTTCCCCAAATTTTCAATCAGAAAGACCATTTCTTCACCCCCAAGTCCCAGAGCAAGGAGGTACACTAAATAAGCCCCTGCCACATGGAAGGACACATCCAGAGCAAGGAAGAATTCTCCCATGAAACTAGAGCTGAGACCTGTACTCCTGGTCTCCTGGTGGAGGGACTGGAAGGCATCTACCTTGACATTGTTATGTCAAGGTGCTACAGCTCTGAGTGCCAGAGGTGGAGGTGGTGCATGTGTAGTCTGGCCCAGGTTTAGGGCTGGTTGAGCAATGCAGCAACATCATTAAGGATTTGTCCGTTATAATCAAGTGGCTCCAAAAACTCACAAAGTGGTTAAAACTCATTTCACAAGTTGAGCAGTTAAAGCAGTAGAATCATGAGCAAGATTATTTCTCCAGCCAACAGATTGTGGAATTATTGTCAGCTTAAGAACCTAATACATTTGACCATTGAACAATGCAAGGGTTAGGGGCATTGGCCCCTGCCCAGTCAAAACTCCTCGTGTGACTTTTGAATCCTCCAAAACTTAACTACTAATAACCTACCGTTGACCAGAAGTCTTACTAATAATATAGTCAATTAACATATTTTGCATGTTTCATGTATAATTCATTCTTACAATAAAGTAAGCTAGAGAAAAGAAAATGCTAGAACATTTATAGTGATTATTAAAAACAAACAAACAAAAAATGTATAATTGGAACCACACAGTTGAAACTTGTTCTGCTCAAGGGTCAACTATCTGTGCAGTGAAGAGGTGAGGACAGGAAACTAATATTCATTCTGTGTATTACTGCTGATCATCTGTTTTTCTTCTTACACATCTTCTCTCAGTGGATGGCATCACCTAGATATTTAAGCCAAAAACTTGCCTATTATCTGTGTTATCTTTGGCACACCTCCTTCTTCCCCTCACCCTTTACATATAATCTTTTCAATTTTGAAGCTTCCTACCTCTCAATCTCAAATCTGTCCATTTCCTTCCAGGCCCTATATCACAAACCAAGTACAGGCTTTCTCTGGGATCCTTCAGCAATCTCCAAATGGACTTCTTGGCCTCTGATTGTAACATTTCATAGATGAGAAACTTGAAGCAACGTGACTCTAGACAAGGTGCTAGCTCTCTAAAAAGGAAGGAAAATTAGAGACAGAGCTTAGATTTGAGCTCAGGCTTATCAAACTTTAAATCCAAGCTTTTAACCTCTTTTGGGTGTCCCATCCCTACAAATACTTACCCTCCCAACACCACTGCCCCCTGTTACTGGATTATTCTTTGAACTACTGTGCTCTAATGATCTATGTAACCAATCATAGAATGAAAGAATTTTAAATGGAACCCCTTGGTGCTCATTTTAAACTAACTCTTTGTTTTAAACAATAAGAAAGAAAAGTCTCAAACTAGAGCAGAATCTTGCCCAGGCCACAGTTCTGGTTGAGAAGAATAAAAATCAGACCCCCGTTTCCTGTTTCTGACTGCTAATCCTGGCTCCTAAATCATGGAATAGATAAATGAGCTCTACTATTGAAAGTTAGCAATTTAAGGGTTAAATGAGTCATGGGTATGAAAATACATTTGGGTCATAATGACACAAACTGCCCATTTGTAAAGAATGGGTAGTTTTGACTAGAACTGGGATTTTTTTTTTTACTAGCTGGAAGGGATGCTATAGATCATTAAAGTGTGGTTCCCTCATTACGTTGGTAATAAAACCAAAGCTCGGAAAGATAGTGTGTGATGGGAAGACCACAGAAGCAAATTGAAATGAAACTCCAGAACTCCTAGTTTCCAACCCAGGGTTCCTTCCCCTCATCACGTTGCCTTTTGAGCCTGTACAAAGATGAGCTGATAATTCTAAAGCCACAAAAGCGACAGCCCTCACCCACTCAGGCACGTCTGCTTACACACAGGCTGAGGCGCTTATCCAAATGCGCTCGAACTCCTAGTCTCTGACAATGATTTAAGATAGCCAAGCTCCCGTGAAAATGAAATGGAGAGGAAATTGCAGACTAACTGGATGCTTTTGTACATCTTTCCTAACTAAGATCTGAGTCTTCTCTAGGAAGAAAACTAGAAAAAAACTCAGAAATCAGTGAGCTGAACCAGGCACTGAAGAGATGTCAATAAATTTTATGTACTAGAGATCATTTTACTATTTTCCTTAAATAAGCTTTTTCCTCTGCGAAGTCTAAACAGATTGTTTGGGTCTCTTTGTTCCAGACACACGCAGCCAAGTCCCATTTTCTGACAAATAGGTTTTGGATTAAAAAAAAATTCTGTTTTTCCTTAAAGGTCCATAAGCTCCACAAACAGCATCATCAAGCCAGGAGCTCACGTCTGCCATCCTGATTCCATCGTGTGCTCCTGTAAACACTTGTTCCACCCTTCGTAGGATTGTTTGAAAGAATCACTCAGAGAACGGACTGATGGTT